AATCACCATGTTTGACCTCTTTTCGAATAGCTTTTAGCTTGGAGAAGGCACGAGGTCCCTGGTTATGGTGGAGAGATAACGGTACTTGCTATGAAGGAGACTAGTGGACTTATGATTTGTTTAGGAGGCATTTGGCAGCCTCCATAACTACTTTTTAAAAGTGCTTTCATATAAATTAAGATAATTTTTATTATATATTTATATTGTAGACCGTAAAATCATTTTTTTTAAATTATTGTTTGAGTTTTGCCCAAACACCTATTTAGTGCCACAGGATCAACCCAAACTAATGGCATCTTCAAACATTTAGGACAGAAGGACTATTTTATTAACGGAGTAAACAATAAGAATTAAATAAAAAGAAAAAAACTGAAGACCTGATTCAAAACTTGATAAAATTATAAGGACTGTCACATTCATTTTTTCTTACTTATATCTTTGTAAAAAGAGTAGATTAGAGTTGATGAATGAAAATTTATTTAAAAAAAGATAATAAGTGACATATATTTACTGAAAATAAAAGTAAAAAGATTAATCTAAAATTTTATTAAAAAAATATGTTTCTTATGTGTGAAGGCATCATTATAAGAGAGATTATTTCTTATAAAAAAAATTACCCAGTATGTGTATTAATATTCATACATAAATACATTAGTGACAAATAAAAATCTAATCGAACCGATCCGGACAATTCAAAACATTTAACAATTAATAATGTGTTGAAATGCTCATTTACTCATTATATAGGAACTACACCTGGTGGAGAATTATCTAAAAGCCTTTTGATTATATGAACCCCAAGTCAATCATTCTTCATAATATTGCCGTTTTAAACATATAGCTTATGGGTGAAGGCACGCATGATTTTCATCACTGTCTTTTCCCTACACCTAATGCCCCTATTCACTTTCACAAGCATAAAAGGAATATTTTTTTTTCAATTTGTCTCTAAATATATATAGATATGAAAAAGAAAAAATTTCAAAAATAATATCTTTAAAATTTTTAATTTTCAAATCAGGAATAACTACAAAAATATATTATCATTTGATTTTTCAAATATTGTCAATTATTATTAAAGTGAGGTAAACAAAACTAATTTAGGATTTTAAAATTTAAAGGCATTTTTTTATATTCTCCCTACAAAAAATATATTCTCAAACATATATCACTTTTTTCTTTTAATTTATTATTTGATTTCTATTATATATTTTAAAACATACAAAATTATTTGATTTTATAACATACAGATATTGTAGACCATTCCCATGGGGGTGGTGAAGGGAGGGCCCCAATTGGTAGAAAAAAACCCACAACTCCTTGGGGTTATCCTGCACTTGAAAGAAGAAGTAGAAAAAGGAAAAAATATAGTAATAATTTAATTCTTCGTCGCCGTAGTAAATAGTAGAGTAGAGAAAATAGAATTTGTTTCTTCGTCGTCTTTAATTGATAATATGTGGATAATCCTATTATTATATAATTTTATCATAGATAATGTCATGATATATAATAAATCATGTGTGATGCTTTTGTCATGGTGACATTTGTCCATTTTTACCTCTAAATTCTTTTTCTCATCAATCCAAACAGAAATGATGGTGGCATTACCTCGAGTTTTCTCTCTCTCTTTTTTACTTCCATTTTTTTACCATATACTTTTCTCTCCCTACATTAAAGTCTACTCCACAAGCTGCTGGTCAACAAAAAGTCTACTCTACACGTTTGTGAGGCCGGCCTATTTATTCAATTAATGTATATCTATCGCAATCTATAACTCTGATCCAGGCAATTCTGACAGAAAATTATAGGGAAAATTACGTACAGGTCTAGAAAAGATTTTATTCATCTAAAGTCCTACAAAATGTCAAAATCACTGACAGGTCTCAAGGGACCTCAGAGTAATATATTCTATTTGTAAAATAACATTACTACCCCTCAGATTTCAAATTTACATTTACTCTGTTATTGCGATTTACAACCTCAGCAGTGACTATTAACAACCTAATGAGAGAGCGTTAACAACCTAAGCAGTATCTGTTAACAACTTATTTTATAGAATCATATAACCTCCACATAAGCGTAAATTATAACCAAATAGTATAATACAATAATTTTAACACTAAAATGTGAAGCTTTTTGATATCATTAAGAATTTTAAGTAAACCTAATAGAATTATAACAAGATTTTAATACGAAGATCCATTTACAACCTCAACGGTGAGTATTAATAACCCAAAGAGAGCTGTTGACAATCTAGACAGTATCTGTTAACAACTGACTTTATAGGATAATATAACCTCTAACAACTATATAAGATTAACTTTAACACTATTTAGTTATAATTTAGTTAGTTATAATTAGAAGTTATATTATCCGATAAAGTGAGTTGTTAACAGACATTGCTAAGGTTGTTAACAGTTCTCCTTAGGTTCTTAATACTCACCGTTGAGGTCGTAAATGGATCTTCGCATTAAAATGTTGCTATAATCCTATCAGGCTTAGTTAAAATTCTTAATGATATCAAAAAGCTTCCCATTTTAGTGTTAAAGTTGTTGTATTATACTAATTGGTTATAATTTACTCTTATGTGGAGGTTATATGATTCTATAAAGTAAGTTGTTAACGGATACTATTTAGGTTGTTAACGCCCTCTCATTAAGTTGTTAATAGTCTCTGCTGAGGTTGTAAATCACAATGACAGAGCAAATGTGAATTTGGAATGTGAAGGGCAGTAATGTAATTTTACAAGTAGAATATATTACTCTAAGATCTCTTGGGATCTGTCAGTGATTTTGATATTTCGTAAGACTTTAGATGAATAAATTATCTTCTGTAAAACCTGTACGTAATTTTCCAAAAATTATATGAATTTATCTTCTGAGTCATGAACTTATTTTTAAAGACTAGAGATAAGGGTGACCATTAAGAATCTATTTTAAGTGTCATTCATATCATATGTCTATTTTAAATTTGTTTTTAAGTCTGAAAGTGTTTGTCCTGTCTAATAATTAAAGACATCTTTGTCTTTATATCATGTGTCGGGAACTTTTGTTTTTGTGTGCGTAGCAGTAATTTTAGTTTGTTGGAATGCTTAATAACAAACTTCACTTCCCACCTTTTCTTTGTTTTTAATTGATATTTATTGGAATTGGAATCATACAGATAAAAGCTGCATCATTGCATAAAGAAATAAATTAAAAACTCAAAAAAGGCCAAAAAAATTCAAACAGAACCCAAAAAAAAAAAGAAGAAAAGAAGGATAGGAAGAAACATGTGGGAACGAAGTCCTACGTCGAACGCTTCGGTCCCATTTTCCCTCGACGTCCATCCCCATTTTTAAAAGCACCTCTTAATCATTTTGATAAATAATACTTCATCCGTTTCTTATTATAAGAAATGAATAACCGAATTACGTTAATAAAAAAACAGTTAAAATTATTTAAGAATGATCAATGTGTAAAAAGTATAATTTTTTCTAAAAATGCCCTTATTAATAAAGAGAGAGAGCATGAGAGAGAATAATTAAATTATTAAAAGAAATAAAAGTGGGAGGGAGAAAGAGTGTGAGTTGGAGACAATAAATATGGGTAAAATAAAAAATCAACATAAAAAAGTAGAGACAACTTTTAAATGTCTCTTATATATAAGAACATGCCATAAGCATCAAATGTCTCTTATAATAAGGAGCGGAGGGAGTAATATTTAGTTAACGTTTGAATTTCAATTTTTTTTTGCCAGAAATAATACATTTAACCAATAGTTAATTAAATAAAATGAATGAATCAAATATTTTTCGTTGTTTTTTTGGTTGAAATCATTAAATAGGCTTTTAGTTAAGCATGTGACACGGGCACAAGTCTATTTAGACAAAACCTAACATAAATTTTTGTTGATGGGCACTCTAAACCTGTAAGTATATCCTGATCCTAGTGAGTTTCTGAGACTTAATTCAATTAAACTTTTTCTATGGCAAAAAAAAAATTCCTTTTAAAAATTCGCTTCCTTGTTTGTTCACCCTTGCTAATTAGTTCTTAACGAGAAGGATGGAAAGTTGAGATCTGATGAACAGTTGAACATAAAATAAGAAACTATTCGTTCATTTCTAATAAGCATGTTTATTAATATATTAAACATGGTCCTTAATATAACAGTCATTTTGGATTTGAATTTGGTCATAAATGTTGCACACATTTATTACAAATAATTAAAATATCTTCAAATTAGTTATTTAACTTTTATATTAAAGATCAAAAATAATATAATAATATCACACTTGAACTTAATTAATTTGATGAATTTATTAACTATCATGTAATTATTACTACCTCCGATTCATAATGAGTTAGTTTGAGGTTGAATTTGGTCTAAACGATAAGAATTCAATATATTTTGTCTTTCATACTTTTTTTTCCCCCTAAAGTATCTCTATTAATTGAATATGTTGAGAAAATTTGCACCAAGAGGTAGTTTTAATATAAATAATTTAAAAGGATATTTTAGAAAAAAACTAACATATATTTTTGACAAGCAGCTAATTTAATTAGTCTCCTAAATTTACTCAAATTAGTTACATAAATTTTATATTAAGCAAAGGTAATAGTATTGTCCAATAAACACCAAATTTGTTAAGAGTTATATTGAACGGGTCAAATTAATTTAAGAAAAGATGAATGTGTACGATTGAATAATTAACAAGATAATTAATGATTAAGGAAGCAAAACACATATATGCTGAGACTGGATCATGCCTTTCTCGAGTCAAGCTCGTACCAGAAAAACGCAGATGCAGATGTGAATCGCCTTCCAAGAGTTTTAAGGATGATAAATAATTTAAGAGGTTAAAATGGTGGGTTCTGTTTTCTTGGTTTGGCTTCACATCATAGCCTCTATTTTTTATTTTTCATTTTTCATTTGGTACCAGGCGCCTTCCCTCAATTTTTGTTTTAACTATCACAGGGGAGAAGAAGCAAAATCCTTCCATTCCTCACTCCTTCAAATCATTAACTAAACGCACCATAAATGATTTATTATACGTTAGAGATAATAGAACATCCCCCAAACACATCCAAAATTATGATATGAAATATTTTCCAAGAACAACTTAATTTCTCAATCTTGTGCAACACACAGGCTAGCTACAATGCTACATGCCATTTGGCAGCTAAAATTATAACTACAATTGGCTGCGTGGAAGATCACATATACATGAATACAGAAAAAGCAATCACAGCCTAAGGAGGACATGAAGGAAAAGCACCTAAAGCTGTACATGAGACCGGTCACTTGCGTTCAAGCTCCATGGCCTCCAATGTAGGGCTATGAATGTCATCGCAGTGCAAAGGGAAATGAGTGAAGGCATCAGTACGATTTCGCCGTGCTCCTGGATTCACAGCCCCAGCCTCCATGTCCTGCTCACCTACTGCAGTATTCTGGTTATTCCTGTTCGCATTAGCTCGCGATTCCTCCTCCACTGCTTGGAAATATGCATATGTTCCCCACCCTGGGAAATCAGCAGACTTATAAAATAAGCATGGAGGAACCACAGCATTTCTTAGGTGCACAGATTTGAAAAATAAGTCACTCATGGGGAAGAAAAGCCGAACACCAGTTCCTGGAGAGCTAAAATTTGCATGATTTTAAATTTTTATATAAAATGGAAAAGAACGGGCAAGAATCAGACAGTGACAACCAATGTAGATCTGACCACAGAAACATCTAATCTTTGTATTCAGGTGACAAAGTGCTCTTCAAGACAAAAATCCCATGATGCAGTGGTTCGGGCGAATTAAGAAGAGGAAAAGTGGCACATCTATTACTAAACATTTGAAGTATAGTTAGTTAACATGGACGTGTTTACTATTATCATAGTCCAATGTATTGATTGAACCATGTTGAGATAAGAACATGATACGATCAAATATGCCTCAGAGATGGCCACCAATACTTGATAATGCGAACCTTACAGAGGGGATTTGCTTTAATCAAAATGTCCAAAGAACAGACATAAAAGTGTTACCATCGTCATTATAAGGGGGTGGAAAGAACTGCCGATAGCAGAAGGTCGCCACAACAAGCCCTGGAAGAAACATATAAGAGGAGATAGTTTATTTCTTCTTCTCTAATTGAGTTCTAATATTGATATGATACGAAATAAATTTTCTTGCAGTGTAATAGAGTAGAAAAAGACCTAGAAGACCTCCAGCAAACACATCCTGCCAATGGTGCCAATAGTCATCTACCCGAGACACGCCAACTAGAGAAGCAGCAAGTAGAGGAAGAAAAACAATGCACAGCTTTGCCACATGGCCTCTCCGATCAAATGCTTTAATCTTCCCAGATAGGTACAAAGAAAGAAAACCTAAGCCTGCAAACGACCCTGCGGAACTGAATTGCATTAGACCAGAGGTTCGTGCATAACATATATTTGTCTACTAATTAGCTAGTAACACGATGAAGTAAAAAGTAATTAATCAGTAAGAGTTATGAACTCAATTTATACTATGAATGTAGTTACTGTGTAAAACTATATGATTGCCACTTTTGACCCTCTATTTTTAAAATGAAAAGGGGAATATAAGTGAAAATGGTACAAAACGTTTACCATATCAGTCAATTAGTGATTAAAACAACTATAATTGAAATATTGTTGCTCACAAGATGTATGGCCGCTTGGGAAACTCTTGTGTCCTTCTTTTATATCACCAGCTTTGCCATGACATACCACACCTCCCCATTTATTGTAAACCTGTGAGGGTAATCAAGAAGACGATGATTATAATGACCACCTTCCAAAGTAGATTATCATTTGCTATATAAATTGATTATTTGGGGAACTATTCCCCCATATTGTAAGTTGTCAAGGTGGACCTAGGCCCTCTTTTTCCATCAAAAAAAAAAAAATTGGCGGTTTACATGCTACAGATAGTTTGGTGAAAACATTTGGCAGCTTGAGTTAATGAAGACCGGAATATGCAAAAGTGTCCAATATTAGTCCTGTTTGGAATCACGATTGAAATCACTTATAAGCACGTTTCACGTAAGTCGAGACAAAACTTATCTCACATACTTACCTCGTATTTCGTAAATCACGATTGAAAAGTTACCTATAAGCCATTCCAAACGGACCCATTAAGATAAGAAAATTTTTGTTACATTTGCACATAATTGGGCACAAGTCCCCATGATCTTAAACCTCTCAATCTCTCTGTCCAAAACATTCTGGTTAATACTAAATCATTTAATGTGAGAAAATGCAGTATATACAAGAAATAGAGTGTATGCCATGTGCCCTCTAATCAATACTCTTATTGAAATAAGGACGTCTATTATGAGAGATTGGACAATCACTTTTGACCATGCTTTTAGGTTAAGGGAGACCAATTCTTGCATTGACTGATTAACTCACCATGCCCGTCGTAGAGTTTCAAATGATGCAGACAATATCCTTAGGTTAGTTGAATGTTTCGTGGGCTAACGTGTGTATTAAGCATGTTGCTCCCAAGAGTTGCCTCTACGGCTTGACACTGTATCTCGTTTATTCAAAAAAAGAAAAAAAAGTATTCCATGCATTTGTACTACACTCAAAATAAGTTATACTATTTATAATTTTTGCACAATGGCTTCTTCCACTTTTTATGGTTGATATTGATATTAACTATACAATCAATTTGAAATAGACGTTACTTGCCTCTATTCCATCAGGAAAGCAACGCCAAAAGAAGTCAGGTCTAGGTCGGCCAACTGCATCTTTTATTGCATCAGTCATGACTGCAGTGACCAGCACCGCATATAGGAGACCTGCTAGCAATGAAGTACATTGCTTACCGCATTTCTACAATTCTTCAACGACTCTTGAGTACTAATGTACGTATATGAAAGTGCAAAGAAAATTTACCTAAAATACTGTGGTGCAAATCATAAACATCTCTCCTACGCATATAGAAGAAAAGGAAAACAGCAATGGGCAACAAAACTGCATAGAGCTGACCATTAAGAGAAAAATTATTAAATTCACTGTGTTACTTGCAACAACAGGGATTATTAACTTGCTAAAAAAGAGAAGTGTTAGAAACAAACGGGGTACATGACTAGATGCCAATAATTTGTTCGTTATCATAATAATTAATAAAGCATCAAATCAAGCAATTTTCAAAGGAGAACTATAAAAAATGAGCACAATTATCAGTCAGCTTGGCACTTTAAATTGACACCATAACATGTGAATCTTATGCAGAACAAACCTATAGACCCAACAGAACAGATCCCATGACAAGAGGACAAAGCTTTCAGGACGAAAATTTTAAATTTTTCAGATAAAGAATAAAACTTACAGGAACAGCCCACACTGGCACTGTGTTGTCTTTCATTGGATATTTAAGGTCTTCCATCATGTCCCTTCCAACAAAGCGATAAAATGGATGAATCGCATACAGAATGACCTCTAACACCAAAAGAAAAAGCAATATAAGCCAGTCTTGCAAGTGATTTCTTGCAAGTGAAGCTCCATGAGATTTGATAGTGTGAGCCGCAGGATCAACTTGCCCCATGCTTACCTGCTGTAAGAAACCAAGGCAGACAGTGAAATTGGAAAGGAATCGTCTAATTACAAGGCTGGGACATAGTAAAACTCTAAAGCATTGCCAGCACTGAGATATCAGATACTTCCAAGATGGCTTTAAAGTCTTATTGTTTGACCAGGCTTTCCTTTGTAATAAGCTAAGGCTGATACACATATACACGTTTGTTATTTCCTCTTCTGAATGAAGAAGAAACCCTGCTTCACTCATGTCAAATTTAGGTAATAATAGCAGACATACTTTCACACTTATGTCCCTACCTATGATGCATATATTTCCAGAATTCTGTTCAACTCTGCGATTATACAATTTGAATCTGTGAATCAATAAAAAATGAAGATTGAAGAGCGTGCAGGTCATGCAGGCTAAGCCAGGATAGGATTAATTCTACCAAAACATGAATATCCCAATTGCCGAATACAAAACCTTGGAAAAACTCTAAAGCTCTATTTCGGCATAAAATTTCGCTCTAAAATATGACACTACCTGCCAAATTTCATAAACCCGCAAAATTTGAGGACCATGATTTGCGTAGTTAACTGAACTACAAAAAACAATAGCGCTAGACAAAAATGGATAATTGTTGAAAAGTTACTTCATAGAGTAAAACCACTCCCTACCTAATCAAGAAAACAGAAAGAAAATCAGAAAGCAGTTCACTAATCACTAACCTTCAACAACGCCAAGAATCTTCCAAACGGAAAGAGAGATGGCAGCACATCCTTCCACGCCATAAAAAAAAAAAGAGGCAGTTTGTGAGCGCAGTCACGAAATTCCCGATAATTTTGCCTATAGTACAACAACGCTGAGATTAGCCGACAGTGAGGGGGAAGGGCGAAAGAGGTTCATCGTTCCAGAAGCGAGAGAGAGTGAGAAAAATTATCCTAAACAGGACGAAAGTGAAAGTTAAAACACAAAGGAGTGGAGACCAAGAAAAGCGGCCCCTTAAAGATTATCCCATTTTCAAAATTAAAAAAGAAAAAATGAGAAAATTTTCTCGGAAAGTTGGGAGAAAAAAATTTTCCGGCATATTTTCCACCCGTGAAGAAGAACAAGAAGAATTTACCGGTCACTCACCAGTGAATGGACGGAAAGAGAGACAGAGAAGGAAGTTTCAACTTCCCAAGTTCGAAGCAAGACGATTTGGCGCGGAGCGGTTGTTTCAACGTTCATCCTTGCGCGATCGCGTCACGATAAACTTAAACCGAAGTAACTGACTGTCTGGGGGTTGTTGGGTAACATAGAAATACTTTTAAAAAGTTTTTTTTTGTGTGAATTAAGATAAATTTTTGGGAAAATAACAAATAAAGAAGGTAGAATATCTGAAATTCTAATTTGCGAAGTTAAGGAAATATAATGATAGAGAGGGAAGTCTTTCCCAAATTAGAATTTTAAAATTTAGTAAAATGACAAAAATACCCTTTATTTTTTTTTAATAAAAAAACTCAGTCCCTCACCAGTGGCCAGTTGTAGGTAGCCACTGCCAGGCACGGGCACCGGCACCGGCCACCAGTGTGGTGGCTGCCGATGGAGTTTTTTTGCAACAGTTTTTTTTTTATATGGGAGAATATTGCAAAAAGTGGTGGGGGTGGGATTTGATTCCACAACCCCCAGCCATTTGGCCAATAAAAAGATAGATGAACATTGGGTCATCAAAGACTTCTTAGAGCTCGTTTGGATCAATTGCATACCTCCGTACGACTGTAATGCAATGGATTGCCATGTAATGACATGTAATACTCGTTACCATGAATCTGTTTGGTTTGATATCTAAGAATGTTGCAGAAAATTTAATTTTTATATTTAATCATATTTAAAATAGAATGTAATGACCAACATGTCCCTGTACAATTTCTTCCTTCCTCTTCCCCTTTCCTTCGATTTTCACCCATGGCAGAAGCAAGGTTCATACACAATCTCCCTTTTCTTTTTAACAATCAACGTTCAAATGCAGCACCCCATAACATACAAATCAGATCCAAAACTCGAATCTGAAACAAAAACGTAAAACTTGTTGACAGTAGGCGCGACTATGGAAGTAGGAGATGGAGATGTGGTCGTGAGTTTTTTGTGATACTCAAATCTGAAGAGGCTGACACTTGTATTTTCAAAGAGGCCGACATCAGAGACGTTAGCTCTGCTAACATCGGAAGAGGAGGAGAGCAACGATGAATATGAGTGATGCTAGCAAGGGGTACCTTCATGGCTTCAAACTTGGGGGAGGAGGAGGGGCGTGATGTCGATGTGGACGCCAGCATGGTAGGGAAGGAGGGAGGGTGGAGGCAGAGATGAAGAAGCGGAAGGAAAGAGGAGGGAAGGATTTGATTTGAGCTATTTTGTGTCTTTTCATTTTAGATATTAAGGGTAAAAAAGACATTTAAAATATTTTCATGGATGGTAATACTCATTCATAGGGGGTGAGGTATGAATAAGCATTACCAAATTTTTGGTAATCATCATTGTCATTGTAAACTCCATTACCTGATAAAAGAGCAACCAAACAACCTACTTATGGTAATGCAATTGTGATTACCATTGCATGTCTGCAATGGGGTTGAACCAAACGGGCCCTTAATTTTATAATGCAAACAAAAATGTAAGTTGACTCTTTTACTGTAACTCCAGCTCGTGATGACAATTTACTTGAGGATAACAGGTCTTAATTGAGAAATAACAAGTCTAAATTTGATATTACCAAAGCAACTTTTCTTAATACATAACAAGTAGCAGCATATATATTAATTAAAAATGACAATTTATTTGAAAATGACACGTCTTTACTGAAAAATGATAAGTCTAAATGTGAGACTAACAATATGTCTTTTCCTCAAGTAAATTGTCGTCATGGGTTGGAGTCACAGTAAAAGAGTCAGCTTATATTTTTGTTTGCATTATAAGATTAAGAAGCTTTTAATGGCTCAATGGTCATTTGTCCTTTTGTTGACCCAAATGGCCAAGGGGTAGTGGGATCAAATCCCACCCCCACCACTTCTTGGAATATTCTCTCATGCCAAAAAAAAAAAGCTGTTACTAACAAACTCTACCGGCAGCCACCACACCGGTGGCCGGTGCTGGTAGTGGCTACCGGCGCCCGGCCATCGGTGAGGGGTTGAGTTTTTTTTTTTTTAAAAAAGACAAAGTGTATTTTTGTCATTTCATTGAATTTCAAAATTCTAATTTGGGAAGGACTTCCCTTTCTGTTATTATATTTCCTTAGCTTCCCAAATTGGAATTTCAGATATTCTACCTTCTTTATCTATCATTTTCCCTAAATTTTTCATATATTTACTTCATATATCATAAAATTATTTTTAAAATTATGGTTTGGTATAATTACTCTACATTGTTTTCAATAGCCGTTTAGTGAAAAAAAAAATTTATACTCCTTCAAATTCAAAGTATAAACTTCAAATAATTAAATCACATATCTTAAAAAATTAATTAAAAATAATAAATATGTTAAAAAAATTATAACTTATTTTTTAAAACATTCTTATTAGAGAAAAAGTAGAAGAAAAAATAAGTTAAAAAATAAGAGAGACATAATTAATCAGAAATAAAAATTAAAATATGCATATAAATGGTCAAACGAATCCAAATTATAAATCCAAAAACAAAAACCGTTCAAAATTTTGATGGTTATATTTTGAATATGAGGGGGTATGTAATTATATAAGCAGGCTAAATACAAATTTCCATTCCAAGATCATGTGATTCAATTGGCGAATCATAGTTCCTCTAAATGGGAGGGTGTGAATCATAGTCTCAGTGATGGACAAGGTGGCGGCCGTGTGTTTCCTTTCTCTGTGACGAACGGTTGTTGCTGTGCTTCTTTGATTGATAGTTGTAAAACCGGAACGTAAGAGGTGTTTAGATAAGGTCAAACCATGGTTTAGAGAATAGCTTTTGAAGAATAAATTCTGGAGAGAATAGATTTTCTGAAAAAGTGATTCTGATAAAATGAAAGTGTTTGGATAATTGTTATCAGAAATACTTTTTATATGTACAAATTACCAAAAAGGATATAAGTTAATATGATAATTACATAAAGAATATATTTTATAATATATTTTAATTTGAAATAATAAATTTGTTAATAATATATTTTTTCTAACATAATAAATAATATATGACAAAAAGTAATTAATAAATAATTAATATGTGTAGATATATTTATAAAATATAAGATTTAGTATGTTTATAAAAGAATGATTATTTTGTTCTCCAACAAAAAAAAACTCATCAATAATTCCCATTTCCTCTTCTCCATCGTGACCTCCTCATTCCTCTTCGACCAGTATGCCAGCGAAGCTCTTTTCTTCAGCCCGGCCTTTCGCCATTTCCTCTAACCCAAATGCCTCTTCCATCGTGTCCTCCTCCTTTCTCTTCGACCGTGAAGCAATTACAAGAACTAATTTCATATCTGAAAATCGCACACCACAAAACCCCAATTCAACCGACGACGATGTGGGAGATGAGATTCGAATGGTGATGGCTATAGATGAGACGAGGCTCAGATTTAGATGTTTTGTGCTCTGCAGCAAAGCTTGATGGAGGAGAAGAAGCAGAACGGGACGATCACGGAGGAAACGAGGTTCAGATTTGATGGTGTTGTGTGCTGCAATGAAGCTTGATGGAGGAGAAACAGTAAAATGGTGACAGTCATGGAGGAAGGGGGCTGCGATTAAGGTTAGGGACGATGGAGGACGGTGAAGGAATGGGAGAACAGGCGAAGCTTGTGACCATTCTCATGGTTGTTTTGGTCAAATATCACTCCAACAGTTAATTTCTTACTCTCAAAAGCAAAAAATTCTGGCTTTTTTGCAAACCAAGGTTTCAGCGGGCAAAACCTTGGTTTTGACCCAAACCAAGGTTTTGAGAAAAATGTGGGTGTTTGGATGTCAGCTGACTCAAACCATGGTTTGAGGCCAAGAATCACTTTTCTCCAAATTGCCAAACACCCCCTTAGTGTTTTATATATATATATACACACACACACACATGTTAGTTTTAATTCTAAATATAAGATATCAATTCATTTTGTCTATATATATATATATATATAACTCAAAGTTTAAGAGGGTTATGTGGCCAAAAAAAATTTAAAGGGATTATATACATGTAAAAATAAAATTTAAAGATATAAAATTGATAAATTTGGGATTATCTACAAAGTTTAGGGTAGTTTATTATTAAATTTTTAAAAGGTATTATTTGTTTATAATTCTAAATTTAGAAAATTTTTATATATATAATTGGATGAATAGACAAATTTACCTATTATAATTCAAAAAGAAGCATCAATAAAATATTGTGTGTAAAAACCCATATAGATATTTCAAAATGATGCCAAAATACTATTTATGTTAATTCTTCCAAACGTCCGTCACTTTTTGTTTTTTACGGGATCACTTTGAGAGTGTTTGAGTAAGAATCAAACCATAGTTTTAAAAGTACTTTTACAGTATACGACGTACTACCTCCGGTCCTTAATATAAGACCCTGTTTGACTTTTATTTTGGTCTTAAATATAAGACCCCAATCCACTTCGTCTTTCATATTTATGTATTTTTTTTCCAAGATAGTCCTTCTAATAATTGTAGTTCTGGCCAATATAGTTGATTAGTAATGATATTTTAGGAAAAGTAATACCTATTTATTATAAATAACTAACTTAACTTCTTTTTTTAATCTTCTCAAATTAATCAATTGGATCTTATAATTAAGACTGAAAATAATAAATATGTTGAGGATATTACCTTGTTTTACAAAAAAAATGCTTTTTAAAAACACTTATTAGTATTGCCAAACATCCCTTTGTCCAGTTCAACTCTGCTTTCTCTTTGCTTTTCTCAATTTCTATCCCTCATTCCCTCTCATCCTTCCCCTCTCTCTTCCCTACACCAAGAGTCCGATATCTCTGTTTTCCTTTTAAGTGTTCTTTGATCCACCTCCCTTTCTCCATTTGTACCCATCTTCCAAATGATCCACCTCGTTTTTCAGCATGAACGCGGATCTCGGCTCTCTCTGTTTCTTCTTATTTGTTTTCACGGCTTTCAATCTGACCCAATCAAAAACCACATCCCACAGAAACATTTGATATCAAAAACCATCCCATCATAGGTGTTCCATCGTGAGCAGTCTTTCATGGTTTCAAAAGTCAGTACTTGGGCCATTCTAAATTGGAAAGTTGGCAAGTACTCTTTCTATTCTTAATATAAAATCTAATTATTAAGTTAAATCTGATACTAAATATAAACTTATTTCTTATATTTATTAATGTTTTCTAAACTATCCCTATGGATATTTTCTCAACAATAACAAAATAGAAGAGGGAAGGAGAGAAGATGTTAAGGAAGATGATTGTATGTTTTAGAAAAAAACATATCATATTTTTTATAATTAACTAACTTACCTAACTTTTTTAATCTAATCAAGTTAGTTAAATATGTCTTATATTGAGAATTATTTTTTATTACAAAAATATGATGATAGTATGATAATGATCTGATAACGATGGTAGGGGACGGCTTCATAGTGAAAGGGATAACCATAGAGAACCCGGCAGGGCCCAGCAAGCACCAGGCGGTGGCCCTCAGAAACGGCGCCGACACCTCCGCCTTCTATCAATGCATCTTTGTGGGCTATGAAGACACCCTCTACGTCCGCTCCCTCCGTCAGTTAACGTTCTACCGTGAATGCGACATCTACTGCAACGTCGACTTCATCTTTGGCAACAACGCGACCTCCGTGCTCTGTAACCTGTACGCAGGCAAGCCCAATGACAGGTAGAAGAACCTGTTCACGGCTTAAGGCAGATATTGAACGCTTGGGGTGGAAAAACCGAAAAAGAGAGAAGAGAGAGGTGGAAGAATAAGAGAGAGATTGAGAATGGTAGGAGAGAGCATATAGCTGACTGGACAAAGTGGGTCCCAAAAAAAATGAAGAACGTTTAAGAGAATGAGAACATTTTATTATGATACCACTATTTCGATATTACAATACGTAAATTTGGCCCTTTGTCCTGAATAATTTAGTCTGTCAAAAATAGACCCGGTCAGACACTCAGTTTATACCGTTGATTTCTTCCTTTGAACCCGAAAGGACTATGAGTATAATTTTTTATTTATGAATATGTTTTTTTTTAAAATCAAAGACATTGACTTTATTATTCTAGGCGAATGAATGATCTGCTGACTCACAGCTACCGAAATGTAGAGATTGACTTTTCTCATTTTTGATTGTCTAGTGTTTATATACAAATTATCATGGAAAAATAACAAAAAAACAAGAAACTAAAAATTTGTAAATACCAAATAAAAAATATCAACAAAAATTTGTTGTCATTTGCAAATTCAATATTATCAACACCAAATAAAATGTTGTTACTAAATCTGATTTGGAATTAATAATTTTTAACCTTTTTTTTTTTGTCATTCTCCCAATTATCATTCCCTCCTTTTATTTTAATGTTAGTTTTTTCTCAAGCAAATTTTTGTTTTTGTTCTTGTTTTCAATTTTTTTATAGAAATATTACTTCCGGTTCTTAATATAAGAGTTAGTTAACTAATTTTAGTAGATTAAGAAAACTAGTTAAGTTAGTTATTTATAATAAAAAGATGTTGTACTCCTCCGGTCCTTAATATAAGACCCATTTAACTAATTTGATTAGATTAAGGAAATTAGGTAAGTTAGTTAATTATAAGAAAAATGACATATTTTTCCTAAAACACCATAATCACCTTTCTTAATACCTTATCTCCCTCTTCTATTTGATTATGGTTGATAGAGTATCTATAGGGATAATTTAGAGAAAATTAATAAATATGAGAAATGGGTCTTATATTTAGGACCAAAACCAACTCAAAAATTGGGTCATATATTAAGGACCGGAGGAGTATTTCCTAAAATATTCTTACTAATTAAGTGTAATTGTTAAAACTATCATTATTGCAAAGACAATCTTAAAAGAAATAGATAAATATAAGAGACAAAATATATTAGAATATTATTTTTAGGACTAAAATAAAAATCAAATGAGCCTTTATATTGAAAACCGAAAGTAATATAAAAATGAATCAAATTCGAACATTGTCCAGTTTAATTAGGGAACATCTTTTAAAAGAATTTTTTTGCGTTTACATAAATTTAAATTTTTTTTTTACCTTGAACATAAATTTAAATTTGAGGCCTCTCCAAAATCCCTTTTCTGAATTATAGTCTCAGTTATGGACAATGTGGGGGCTGTGTGTTTCCTTTGTCTGTTAGGAAGGGCTGTAGCTATGCTTCTTTGATTGGTAGTTGTAAAACCGGAATTTAGTGTTTTATATATACACACACGTCCGTTATTTTTAATTTTAAATATAAAATTTCGATCTATTTTATACACGCATATATAACTCAAAGTTTGAAAGGATTATGTGGCCCAAAAAAAAAGTTTAAAGGGATTATATACATATAACAATAAAATTTAAAGATATAAAATTGATAAATTTGGGATTATCTACAAAGTTTAGGGTAATTTATTATTAAATTTTTAAAAGTTATTATTTGTTTATAATTCCAAATTTAGAAAAGTTTTATATACATAAGTGGGTGAATGAGTAAATTTACCCATTATAATATAAAAAAAAGCAAAATACATTTAAACATTTTAAAATGGTGCAAAAATATTCTGTTAATTCTTCCAAACGTCCGTCACTTTTTGTGTTTTACGGGGCCACTTGGTCCAGTTCAGCTCTCCGCTTTCTCCTGCTTTTCTCAATCTCTCTCCGTCTCTCTTTCCCCCACCAAGAGTCCGATATCTGTGTTTTCTTTTCAGTGTTCTTGGATCCACCTCCCTTTCTCCATTTGTACCCATCTTCCAAATGACCCACCTTATTTTTCATCATGAACGCCAATCTCGGCTCTCTCTGTTTCTTCTTATTTGTTTTCATGGCTTTCAATCTGACCCAATCAAAAACCACATCCCACAGAAACATTTGATATCAAAAAGCATCCCATCAGAAGTCTTCCGTGGCGAGCAGTCTTTCATGGTTTTAAAAGTCAGTACTTGGGGCATTCTAAATTGGAAAGTTGACAGTGACAAGTAATACTTTCTATTAAAAAAAAATGATGATAGCATGATAATGATCTGATAACGGTGGTAGGAGACGGATTCATAGTGGAAGGGATAACCATAGAGAACCCGGCGGGGCCCAGCAAGCACCAGGTGGTGGCCCTCAGAAACGGCGCCGACACCTCTGCCTTCTTGTGAATACAAGTGAGTGTTTTAAAAGTGAAGTCGCATGTTGTGCAAGAGAAAAGGAGCTCAAATGTACTACTTCCGGTTTTTAATATAAAATTCTGTTTGATTTTTTATTTGGTTCTAATTATAGGACCCTAATTCATTTTATCTCTCATATTTATATATTTTTTTCCAAAATAATCCTTCTAATCATGATAGTTTTAACCAATACACTTAATTAACAAGGATATTTTAGGAATGACAACACTTATGTATTACAAATAACTAACCTAACTTATTTCCTTAATCTCTTCAAATTAGTCAACTAGGTCTTATAATTAGGACCGGAAGTAGTATATATATTATCTTATATTATTGAGTTAGTGAATGGACCTAGCTAGAGGAGAAGGAGGATCACCAAAGGGAAACACAGTTGAAAACTAACGATTTCCCTTTTTACAAAATACTTTTGTAAAAATAAATTATAAAATTATATTAAGAGAGCTTAACAGAAAATCTTTGTTTATTAGTTTATTTTTTGAATTAGCCAAAGGTTACTCAATGTTGGGAAAGTTTTATTTCTCGTTAAATCAGGATTATCCCTTCATCAATCCTTTTCCATGCATTAATGCTTGCCAACGTCCTGAAATTCAATTTTTGAATGCCTCTAACTTTCATAACCGAAGGTCTAGAGAGTGACTTTTTTCATTATTAATTGTTTAATGTTTATATACAAATTATCATGAAAAAATGACCAGAAAAAAATGAACTAAAAATTTGTAAATACCAAATAAGGAATATTAAGAAAAATTTGTTGTCATTTGTGAATTCAATATTATCAATATCAAACGAAGTGTTGTTATCAAACCTGATTTAGAATTTAATAATTTTTAACTATTTTTTTGGTCATTCTTCCAATTATAATTCCCTCCTTTTGTTTTATATGTTAGTTTTTTCTCAAGCAAATTTTTATTTTTATTTGCAATTTTTTATAGAACTATTACCTCCAATCTTTAATATAAGAGCTAGTTAGCTAATTTTAGTAGATTATAAAAACTAGTTAAGTTAGTTATTTGTAATAAATGTCAAATTTGTAAATGCCAAATAAGGTATGTCAACAAAAATGTGTTGTCATTTACAAATTTAATGTTGTCAATACCAAATGAAGTATTGTTAGCAAACCTGATTTAGAATTTAATAATTTTCAACTTATTTTTTTGTCATTTTTCCAATTTTCATTCCCTCCTTTTGTTTTATATGTTAGTTTTTTCTCAAGCAAATTTTTGTTTTTATTTTCAATTTTTTTTATAGAACTATATATTACCTCAAGTCCTTAATATAAGAGCTAGTTAACTAATTTTAGGATATTACAAAAATTAGTTAAGTTAGTTATTTGTAATAAATATGTGTTTTCTTAAAATATTTTTACTAATCAAGTGTAATGGCTAGAATTACTATTATTACAATGACTATCTTAAAAAAGAAAGACAAATATGAGAAATAAAATAGATCAAGATTTTATTTTTAGAACCAAAATAAAAATTAAACTAGTTTATAAATTAGAAACCGGAGGCAGTATAAAACTGATTCAAATTTGAACACTGTCCAGTTCAACCGGGGAACATCTTTTAAAAGAATTTTTTTGCATTTACATAAATTTAAATTTGATGCTCGCCAAAACCCCTTTACTGAGGATCAACATTCATGAATTACTATACATAGCCAAACAAGCAAAGAATTTATGTCGGCCAAAGAAAAAGTAAAAAATTTATATAAGATTTACTAGACAAATTTTTTAATGATCCTGATTAAATCTAATTAAAATATCAAAATTCAAATTCAAGTCTACACTTTTAACAAATTCTTAATCAAGCTAAAAGACTTAATTAGAATTTTTTTAATGTTGTTAAAAGACCTAATGTCCCTATATAGTTAAAAAAAGAAAAATGAAAGTAGGTGCATGCCTAATTTCAATTTTAATTATTTCAATTGGATTTAAATAATATTTTGTTCTTCTTTAGATCATTAAAATTTTTATAAATAAAAAAATTATGGCCAATAAAAAAAAATTGAAAAACAAGATTAAAAAAATACCAAATTTCTAGGGATTCATGGAATTACAGAGACACTAGGGCTAATAAAAAATGTTTACAATTTCGAATATTAAAGATTAATTGGATTGAAATTTTTTTTTAAAAAACGGATTAAAGATTCAAAGATTTCTCATATACTACTTCTGATCCTAATTATAAGATCTTATTTTTATAAACGATGTGTTATAATTAGGATTGGAGATAGGATATATCAAGATTAAGTTATGAATTCGCAAATCGCGCTAGGCTCATCAATTTTTTTTTTTTTAAAAATCTCAACTAAATTTAATTATAAAGAGGCACTTTGGTGTTTTGACAATATGATTAGATCTCTTGGCCTGATTAGGAATTTGCTAATAATGTAAACTTAAATATAGACTTCGGTATTTAAGGTAGAATTAATTGGGATTCTCCCAATTTTTTATTATTTATTTTTATAAATACTACTTTTATCAATCTCAAACAAGTCCAATTGCACTATTGCAGTGTTGGGATAAGTGTTCAATACTTAAATCCTTATCTATAAACTGTTAATTATGCGTGGGAATACAATCACATTATTAATGAACATAATGAAGCGTTGAAAATTCCAATTGTGGCCGGCTACAATGCAAAAGCATAATCAATAATATCCGCTTGTTTTCAGATGTTGATTTTGATTGGGATAAAGGTGCTTAGCTCACACCGCTCAATAATTCCGCATAGTGCGTCATTAATTAGACTACAATTATACATTTATACTACCTCCGGTTTCAGTTTTTGGTATAAAACTTAATTAAGTAATTTGACTATATTAAAAAAATTAGTTAAGTTTATTTTTTGTGGTAAATAAGTGCTTTTTTTTTCTTTTTAAAATATCATTATTCATTACGTATATTTGAATTACTCATTAATAGTAACTCTTTAACATATGCAACTACTATATGGATTATTTAAGAAATAAATAAATAAATATTAGAGACAACACGAATTGAGGTCTTATATTTAAAATTAAATTAAATATTAAACTAACTCTTATATTATAGATCAGAAGTAGTAGTGAAAAAAAAACCGTTTTTTTGGGCAAGAAGTAAAAACTTCTATTTCATGCAAACTTCTAAAAACTAGATTGATCAATGGTGGAAGTAGTGCCCAAGGGTCAATGGTCCTAGTATTATTTTTTTGAGTTAATACAAACTATAGTTTTTTAAGTTTATCTTTATTTTGGTTTTGATCTCTCAAATTTCTTTTCATTTAAAAAATATTAGTCCCTATAATTCAATAAAAACTTGGATTATTTTGTCCCTAAAGAAACTAAAACCTATGTTTTGAAACTTGATGAACCAAAAATTATATTAACTTTTTTTTTACCGGAGTCCTAGTAATCTTAAATTAAACTCAACTCAATCATAATTAAAATAATATAATTTAATTTAAATATGTAAAATATTTATATATAATAAAAACATTAATTATATTTATGTATATCAAATATTATTCTTTCTTAACCTAATCAATTGATTCAGAACTACCGATTCATTGGTGCATTGGCTAATCTCATATGGGTTTAAATTAAATCAAATGCCACTATTTAATAGTGAGAAAACAAGAAGTTGGTGAGAATGGGACAGGTTGGAAGCCCAGTGGTGTCCCATCCCTTGTTCAAGATTGGTTCCTGCTATGACTTCCTACACCAAAACAAACACACTAATTATTAACCATTTCATGATCCAAATTCCAAAACCACTTTTTCTATGGCTCATCGCTCACTATAATTTATATATTACCTCTAATCTTCAACTTGGTTAATTAATTTAAAAAGATTAAGAAAACTAAATAAATTAACTTAAAGTATTTATATTTATTATTTTTTTCAAACTAATTTACCTAACTAGTAAATTGATTTATAATTTAATGATGCACATAAATATTTTAGATAAATTACTTAATATATGCTATGATATTATTGAGTCTTATATTAAGGACTAAAGATAACACTTTATTTTTTTTTAATAATTCCTAGATAAAGCATTTTTTGCTCTTCCCTCTATTTCTTATATTAAGCTTAAAAGCACACAAATAAAACATGAGAAGATTTATATTATATTGAACGGATAAATTAATACATAAGAAATATTAGGAGAGTTATCTCCCAATTTTGCTGACAAGTTCAAATTATAACTGATAATATAGAATATAAGATAGTCGTATTAAAAATATATAAAATCTAAATTTAAGACTTCTTTTATAATTCTAATCATAAGCTACTTTCAGGTTTCAACATGTTCTATTAGAAATAGAAATAGCTTTTCAACCTTATTAACTTTGTTATAAAAAGTAAAACTTTTTAACTTTATTCTGTTTCAATACTCGCATATACATATTTTAATGAGAATTTTAAGCAAAAACAATAAACTAGCCAAAAAAATTATATATATTTTTAATAAATTTATAAAATGACTTATATTAAAAAAGAATTCATCAGGATAGACATAACGGAAGGATATTGTTATTTACTTGCACTCATCATCGTACTTTAATTTAAGAGACGCCTACTAGGCCCGTTGGCCTTCATGTTTAAAATTACTTATATACATATTTTATATAAATTAAAACAAAACTCTTCTCACATATTTACATTATATTTTGTAAATTATTATTAAAAAATTATTTATAAATTGTTTTAAATGAGCTCTAAATAATTGACAAAACATGTTATTAAATGCCTACCAAACTTGTCCATTATTAGTAGGTGCAATCATAATCACTCACAAAAAGGGAACCTGTTTAACGTTCAACTAATTCACATTAATTCTGACTGAATCATTTTTAATTGTTGCAGGCCCCAAAAAGAAAAACAAAAGAATAATTTTTAATTGTAAATATTACTTTTATTTATTTTATAACTTTTCTCCAGTTGTTCATTTTTTTTAAGTATAGGTATCTTCTTAATTATTA